ACCTAACTTGAGGCCTAATCAATGTTCATGTGGATTTTCATTTTGTGTCAAGCATTAAACCGAAAATATTGGAATTATTACACGTATTTCCCAACCAGTTGCTACCGCATTATATTTGATTTATCTTTCAGCCTGTCAGTACCCAGAAGATTTTAATTGTTCTTTTGGTAACCTCCGGCTTGCGACAATCCCATTCGACTTTCCATCGAACCAACGTCACGTTGATTCTGATAGGAGAGTAATGTAGTAGCACTGGGTCTACTCAATGCAGAACACTAGATAACTGGGAAAATTTGCATTCATCATTTAACACGGAGAGGAGTTTGGTAATGGTAAACGCGGGAATAATTGATCTGAATGGGATGGTTCAGCTTTGCAAACGTAGTCAATATTTGTACCTCATACCTTTCCACAATAAATATGTTATTTTATCCTCAGCCGAAACGTGTTCTTCAGGAGTACTAATCATCATATTTCTGATTGTCACGTAGAACGAGTCAGTATAGACAGTGATATGACTTTTACATAAGATCTTATAGATTACGTAGTCAAATCATGAAAAATCTACTATTTCGGAATCAGTTCTTTTGTAATATTAACATTGAACCAGATCGTAATTGTGCATTTTTATTTTGATTGCTCGTTATTTCAAATCAAACAATTCGAGGATGTAGTTTTGTACTACTTTTAGAGGTGGGATATCATGACATAGCAATAATTCCAAGTGGTCATTCTAATCACATTGAAACTACTGATCATATTCTATCTATTCTAGATTATCCTTGGTTGAAGCCACATTTTTAAATTTAAAATTCTATCGTTTGTTGTCTAAAAATCATTTTGTTTCAGTTTTGAAGGTATGATCAAAGCCTAGGATTATACTATGGACAAGGAATTGTTATTTCGTGAACATGGGATCTATGATCGTCAAAGTCAAAATGTTCACCCACCCAGCTACCAACTTCACGTTCCACGGATCTCCTTAGCTTTCAATAAGTCAGCGAACTGAATTCATAACTCTCCATGAAGGGTTGTTCAGAGAAATTGCTCCAAGTTAAATTAAAGCACTTAGGATTAGGATGTATATTCTTATACAAGATAACTCCTTGAGCTTTTGAGGATATTAATTTCATGCTGAATGCCACCAGTGAATAACTGCACTAAGTGATTTTGAGCTTTTAGATGTTTTTACTGGGCACCACACTGAATAATTAAGAATAGCAATCTTCTGAGTTTAGGACTGATGATGCATTAAACAAGAACTTATTTAAAGATTAGCTTAGTTTTAAGGACAGCCTTTTTCTGATGACGAAATGAAGGCATTTTTAATATAGTTACTTGTCCATAATTTTGGAAGAAACTTATAAATGAACTGAACATTACGACAAGGATTATTTAAATACTAAGAAACGTATGACATAATTTAGTACTTCTTTGCTACTTATTCATTACTTAAACGACCCTATGTTAATGTGTATATACATAATTAGTAAAGGACTCGTCTTTTGTTTAGATAATTATTTTGATCTCTATGGAAATTACTTTGTCATACCAATTTAAAATTTTTCATTTGTTACTTAAATAATTGTTGGCACAGCTTTATAATTCATTCGTTGTAGAAATGAACCATTGAACACATTGAGGTGACAATACACATTTACATAAAAATACAAATAACAATTGATAATCATAAGTGAAATAAATGTGTGAACTTTTAGTGTATATTTTGAGTTGTGCTACTAATATTTATTAAGCGATAAGACCGTTTACAATATACTGTAAATTACATTAAAGAAAATGATGTCAATTTAATAGTACACAAGTATTTAAAGTCTATAAAAAGCCTCTGATATTATGCTCGAATCGTTTATAAATTTGTTATTTTCAGAATATACTATACAATGTTGTAAATAGTTCAGATTACTTAATTACTTAATATAATAATTATATACCACCTATTATTTCAGAATGCATTACAAACTGTTTTCATTAACAAATTTGTGTGATTTTAATGAAAGAACAAATAACTAGATCAAATAATTATGAAGGTCTGTGTCGTCCCGTTATTTATATTTAGAACTGCAAATCACCGTGATCAAGTCATTTATCCACAAGATTTTTAAGTTGGATATTGGCTATCAACGGAATCCAGGAGATGAGTATCTTCTTCAGGATGTACCTGGATCTCGGTGTTGATGGTAACATGAAGATCCAAGATTAATCAGTTACTGTCCGTAATGTCAACAGTAAGAAAATACAGACCCTGAAAAACAAAAGTTTAAACCATTTTCTACAAGCTTGTGGTTATCTGGACTCAGTAGATAACGCGTTGGCGACGCAAAGTGCTATGTTCGGGTCTCCGTTTTAGTATTAATAATGGAATGTAGGCATTTTTAGCTGACGTGTTTCAAATTAAATGACGCCTTATAACTTGAGTACACTGCTAGCCATTACTTAGTAATCAAGTTAACAGCTACTATAAACTTTGTAGCACACGTTATACAATAGCAAGGAATATCATTGTCATCATAAAAAGAAACAAATATTACAATAAATACTCTGAGGTTTGAATCACTAAAATAAGGTACCCTTACAAATATACAACAGCAGCGTGGAAAGCGTTGTAGGCATAAATAGAAAGTACAACTAAGTCCACCTAAATTTACAGTTCGGAAATGTTACAGCTGCGAGGTAGTTGAATTGGCTGATACTGAAATCACAAACTGGCTGCAGATTTGTTTCACCCTACAAAACACGTTAACGATAGTTATAATGAGATATAACTAATACGAGACTCTTGAATTCGTTAAATGCTCCGCATACGTAGAAAACGAAGACGATAGATAAGAATTTATTTGACATCCAAAATAAATCGAAGTGAATTTTTAAGTGTTCTACACGTGAACTGCAATCAAGTAAGTCTTTGTTCATGATAGCCAAAGCATTCACGGTCACTATACAATCATTAAGACAATTGGTTCGCTGGAATTATTCAGATTATTTAGCAATATACATCAAAAGTCTGAATAAGAATAACTCTTAACACTCTGACCAATAGGTCAAAACCTTGATAACGTGACTTGCTTGAAGTCGAAAGATTAACCTCAATTCGGTAAGCTAGTTTAGTCTCTTAGTTAAAAATAGAGTCTATATATAAATCACCGTTTGACGATATACGCTTGCTTCTAAGATAACTTTTCGATAAAATTCAGTCCAGTGAAACCAAATAACCTAAATAGTTGAATTGAAATAATTTTTTAAATATGAAACACCTTATCTCGGACCACAAATCAATATTTATTGGAGTTGCGAAATTCCTTTCAGTAAATAATATAGTTAGTATAATTTCTTAATCTGTAGTTAGATAAATGAGTATTTTTGTTTGTTGGATTATCCACGAAAATGCAGTTCTCGAAGAACAAAATGTAAAAACGACACACTTTTTATACAAATGTATTTTTTTTGGAATGTAATATATGAGTCATATCAGTTGATACAATTAAATAATAAGCTCACACAAGATATTTAAGCATTTAATGCAGTTTATAAAGAAGACTATACGCAATATTGTTTTCTCACATAACAAATATCAAGGTTTTTCTAGTTCATTTTCATCATTAACTGGAGTCAGTTAAGGAAACAATGAAATAAATTACTATACAACTCACGTCCCAAGGATGGTGAGTATAGATGGCTTGACCATAACTGCTATGTTAAATTGTGGATCCAGTTTGCATATCAGAATGATCTAATCAAACTACAATGGACCACAACATCAATTACAAAAATTTCTACCACACCAAAGTAATCAGTACGAAAGTGGCAAAATAAAAAACAACACGTGGGCCGAAGGCGAAATCAAACTGTTCTGCAGTGCGATGGCAGGCAGTAACATGTTTCACTCATAAGTCAGTATCTGCCTTCTCACAATTGAAAGAACGAGTTAAAGGACGGAGGTTCAGGAAATACCATAATTCCTTTTTCAACACGGACTTCCATCGCCAGGAGTAAGAACTTAAAAGTACGGAGCTAACGCAACAAGGACCACTTGGAAAAAGTGTGACTGGCCTCGAGTAGTTATCCTTTGATCTCTACAGATACCATTTATTGTCCGAAAGACTATTTACTAAACAAATTTTCTTTATAGGTACCTCAAGAAGTATTCTTCCGCATTGTCAGTCAGTCGCAAGGTGTACGTATGTACATTAGTTCAAATTGCCATACCCCATAAGCAGAGCAAGATGAAATTGTCAGGCCAAATCCGTAATTTACGTGACCGAGACGCAAGGATCGCCCACACACCTCTAATAGCAAGCAAGTTCACCTCGTTCATGATGCACCAGAGTCAAAGGAAGTATTTGGTTTAAATCTAACTATGTACAACATGTCATTGATGAATTATTTCATGATTTAAATATATCCTAGTTAAGTTTCTGGAATTCGTACTTATCAGCAATTGGAAACGTATTGATGCTGAACACATTTTCAACCCTTCAGCTAACCTTTCATTTGAACACTGCTAGAAGGTATTGAATGAAAGTGAGATTCTTTTTCTCATTACACACCTATCACTAAACATAACAGAAATTTTCGTGAGTTGCTGAGTCGAGAATGTTGTATTAGTAAATACAATAATTTCAGTAGTTCAACAAAAATATATTACTTATCTAATGGTATGTAGCACAGCCAAATAAATTAAACAGAACGGACGGATGGTGGTGGGAAACAATAATGTGAAAAAGGAATATATATATATATATATATATATATATATATGAGAAAGACGTTGAATGAGTATTAGAAAGACAGGGAAGAAGGACAAGAAAAACAATAGCAATAGTTTCGCCTTGGTAGGCAAGATGAATACACACACCCAAAGACGGATGAATGAGTGAGGAGGATAACGAAACTGAGAAAAAAAACTTTTCATGAAATCAGAAAAGGAATGTGCAGATCTGATTACACTGGTAATGCAAAAAAAGAATGAGCCTTCTACACATTAATAATAATAATAATAATAATAATAATAATAATAATAATAATAATAATAATAATAATAGTCGTTTCACATTTTCATGTCGACATATTCATTTACAAAAAAGGCACAAAAGCAACAGAATAAGCGCAATGAAACATGAACAGTGTGTGTTGATGATAACTGTATGGTAACACGAACAATTAAGTGATGTTATCGAGTAATTTGCTATGTACCTTCAAGAAATGTATTTGACAATCACTTCATTCAATAACCGAAAGACTGAAACTGTGATATGGACATGAAAAATATACGCGTATATGTCTGTTCATTTATTTGTATGTTTATATTAGAGATAAATAACCAAGAAAATGTACGAATGATGATTTAATTTATTGGCTCTGGATCATAATTATCTTCTGCATATTTATCGTTCAATGGTACATAGATAGGATTCATAAAACCAATTGAAGCAGCGGTACGACTTAAGTTTAAAGCTGACAGTGTAAATTTATCATTTGATTTAGTTGAAAGAACCATATTATTACCATTACTACTATTCAACTTTCTTGGTCCACTAGTTTGCAATGAAATGAGATTATCATTATTATGAACATCAGATCGTTTAATTGGCGGCTCAGATGACAGAAAACTATCAGGAATGTCATCAGTTGTCGACGACGATTCGGCTTCGTTGATATTATTATGATTATTGTTCACGATATCGGTGGTACTGGTTGTGCTGCCAAGATATAATGTTGTTTTACGTTTACGTGATGTACGATACCTGTCGAATGGCTGATAACGTCGTCGAATTTTAATACATTTGTGAATACCGATACGTCGAAACAGGTAGACACTGAATATACAACATAAAGTAATGAATATAAACAGCATGATTCCGCTAGACCAATGGATAGATTGTCCAGCTGTGGGAACTGAATGTAGGCACTGAATTAGAGAACAATTCTATTTCAAAAGTGGAAAAATGGAAACATGAAGTAGATATTTGAACTGCTCAAATTCACTTACTCAAATTTACAGTGTAATCAAATTATGAGTTCACATCACAGACCGATCTTAGTTAGGCGACTACTGAAAACTAGAAAGAAGTGGACAACTGTCGTGTTGTATTATGAAACCCATTAGGAATGCACATTCACGACCCGACTGCGGATCGAACAAATGACTTTCAGGTCTCGCGTTGATATTTAGAGTGGTTAGACAACATTCAATGACTTACATATTTAACTTCAGTCAATCTGTGATACTATGCAACTGACGGCATCACACCCAATATAATTGGATTACACTGGTCACGGTTTCACATTAAAACTTCAGAAACTACTTTTCGAAATTATTCACTAGTGAGAGTATAATTATTATTAGTTTAATTTTTTGTGGAGATTATTGAATTTTATAGTTTATGAGTTAATTAAGTAAGCAAAGAAAAGTAGTTTGTGAGAAATCAACAAAATGATCAACAGGATAACCTAATGTTCGGAAGATGATGCCTATTGCGACATAGCAATGATAATGTTTAGTTGAGTAATAATGCCAATCAATGATATGACCAATTTAAAATTCGAAACCGAAGGTCCTAGATTCAAGTCCCGTGTGAGTGATCGTGCATGTGTACTGTGAGACATTTCATGCTGGAACGAGACAGCCGTCCAGTGCTTCCAGGTTTTTGATGGTTGTCTAGCATTGATCTATTCATGGTTTTAATAAAAACTCAAATACATTTATTGATGGGTTTTCATCACCTTCGACAATATAACAAAATAACAAGCTATAAATGGATAAAATTACAGGAACCAACGCTTCTATCACGCCCATCTAGAGGTTTGAGTCGATCAGTCAGTCACCAATTCAGTGACGAAGTTTACTGTCTCATGAACAAAAATGAGCATCACGATGATGAATTAATTCTAGTGAAATACTAATGTATTTACTATCAAACTGTAATTATCTACTTATCTGTAAAGGGATTGTTCCATTGAAGTTTAGATGATAAACTACGTCCACAGTTAAAACATATAAATACAAATTATTAATATTATTACTATTATCACATTCATACAGTAAATTATTAATAATTGAATTTAAAAAATATGTAACAAAATGTGTAGGTGTTTATTTTACTAGAAGGTGAAATTACTTTCAAGAGTAATATTTTCAGACTGAGATCATTTCGCCTGAACACGCATTATATATAACCAACTTATAATATCCATGTATTGTATTGAATAATGTGTATTTTCAATATATCATACATTTGTGTCCTTGGTATATGTTGATTATTTCTATTTTAATATGATTTTCATCATAGACTAATGTCTATTAAAAAACCGACGAAAATGACAAAGCATTGAGAATGAGGAATTCCATTTGATATCTTTACAAGTAATTGAAAGTAAATGTGAACTATAAGGACAAGGCTTAAACGACTACTTAAGTGATCTTGTAGAATTCTTGACCTCATTTAACCAATCGGTAGACAGCAAGTATTAGTGAGCGATATCTAATGTTGGGACTAAGACTTACACTTTAAGATTAGAGTTAGGGGTTAATGATCTATGATTGCGATATACAGTTTAAAATTAAGGATGTTGACCGAAGATTAGGATTAGGAGAAGGTTTTACAACTAGTCCATGTAAACCCTGATCTTAAGTCTGAACTCTAAATTCATTCTAGTCTTAGCGCTAACTTTAAATACCAATTTAAACCCCAACCTTTAGCATCAAACGATTTTTTTGTTACTAAAACGGATCGCCTAGGTTTGACAGACAACATTCCATTGGATACGTGATTTTAAAGTGACTTGTTCGTTCTTATCGGCTAACTATTCTAATAATACAACCCAGGACATTTATGATTTGAAGTGATCTAAGGAATTAATAAAGATACATGCATCAATGAAATAAGATGAACTTAAAGGTAAATCTATTTAATTTAAATTTTATATGAACAACTGAACGTGCATTATTGGGCATTTTAAAAACAACAAGCAAATAGTTATCCGATGCTTTGCGTTTTCTTCAAAAAATATACCAACTGATTCTGATCTGTCGTGAAAACTAACTTTGCTTTTAATTTTTTTTAAAATTTTAACAATGAGGAATATTTACTTTTAAAAATAAAAGTTACTATGTCAAAGGCTTCTTTTGGGTTTTTAGGACTGAGCCAATTCTAACGATCCAGTTTCATTATAGTTAACAGTCTAAGTGGAATGAAATAGAGTGTGCAACCTAACACCAAAACGCAGTCCATGTGAGTCACTCAGACAAGTAACACTATACTGCAGATTGATCGATAGAATTACATCGGGACTAAAAGAACTGGACAAACATGGCAATGACTATTATTCAATGACCAGTTAATTGTAAATATTTTTCTTACAGGAGCTAAATCGCAGCCTGAACATCTCAATAGTAACGTCTTGCACACAGTGAATTCGGGTGATACAAAGGTTCTGATCTCATAGAAAGTAATCCGTCTCCCCAAGATTACAGATGAAGCCCCGATGACGAGTGCGAAGTAATACGAATGATAGGTCAAGCAAGATTATTGGTCGACTACGACCAACTATTTATCAATCCTACTTCACATAGATTTTTATTAAATAAACAAATGAAATTATAACACATCGTATATAATTTAGTTTTTATTATTATCTTGCGTTCATATTAATCATGATTTGATTGCTAATTGTTAACTCATTTGTTAAAAACAGGTAAATGTAATCACGTTTCAGTCATACTTCTACGCGTGACAGAGCTGATGATACCACTGGCGGTCAAATAAATCAAAGTACGTGGATAAAAGAGAATACCGGGTCAATAGTTCGGTGTTCAACTATCCGCAAGATAAAAATTTGAAGTACATAACCCAAATAAAGAAATAATCAATACAGAATATTAAGAAAATAATACATGAGAATTGTTGATACCTCAAATATCGGTGGATTTATACTGATATAACAACCGAATTTGGTTGATTGTGTTTTTCCATCGTGTATATGTGAACAATAATTCTCAGCATATGAATAAGTATTACTGCCACCATGAACCATTTCAGCAGAGAGTAAATGATTTCGTATAAAATTGAAATCTAATGACACATCAGTGAAATTATGATCAATTAAATCCCATCTAGAAAATTTTGTTTAACAACAAATCAAAAAGTATTGATAAAAACAATAAGGAAATTAGATAAAAAAAGTTTCTTTCTAAAAATATTGCTTCCAAATCGAAAATGATATGAGATTAAATATATCTTGGTGAGTGAGAAGCTGTCGGTTTTTTACTTTCATACTGCTTCGCAGTGAAAGTCTCTGCCAGGAAAGCTATACTTGTTGCTGCTACGTAGTGAATGTTTCCACAGTACTGACAAGGCGATAGCAAACGTTGAAAGTCGAAACAGCGTTGGTAGAAAAGATTATCCAGAGAGGAGTAAGAAAGCTTTTTTAAAAACCATTGGTATGGATAAACACTAGAATCTAAAGGGAACATACAGCATATGAACCTAATTTAACTGAAGGTCACCCAGAACCATGTGTATCCCTTGAACGTTTGCTCCTGCCTTGTCAATCAGATGATCCCTTAAGAAAAACAGTTGACAACTGATTGATTTCAGCTACTTCAAACTAACCATAAAAATTTCAAATAAATACACGTAATAAAATTAGATGGGAATAAATATTAGTCCACCTGAATAGTGAATAAACAAATTGAAGTCCTACAATTACGATCTAATATCTATATTCGTATAATCCCACAATGGGTCACTACTATGTAGAATATTTGTTTTTTTATGGAATTTCTAAGCTGTCAAGTTGGATTGAAGACAGGAGTCGGATATCTACATTTACTAGTTTACCGATTTGGAAACAATATGTATCATATCCTTATATGAAATCTTTCTTTTATATATTGCCACCATTGACTTAACCACTCCTATGAATCCCGTGTTCATCTTGCCGTGCTAATGAGATATGACAACTTGGACCGATGCATATATGTGCCTGGTCCTACGTTGTAGCTGACTGATTGTAGAGAATGTTATATCAAGCATACAATTTGATAAGTTATCGATAACATGATTATTTTTTTAGTGGTTTCATCTATGTTCTATTTAGTATCTTCAGTTAGGAATTCTGCACTTTCTGAAGTGGCTCTTGATGTAATTGATAGTCTGGGTGAATCCAGACATATTGCTTGCCTATGTTCACACACTATCTCAAGGCCAAACGGTGTGGTGAGCGAGTGTGAACAAAGTGAGCTTCTAAATAAAGCAGTCTATTCACCTAGTCACAGTATATGTTCTTGGTTAGATTAGAGGGATCGATACATATAATTGTGTACAAAAACAAGAACAACCGTTTCTTAGTCTGTCAACTCACAAAAAGTACGAAAGAGTGTGTATGGGTATTTGAATTAGATAAATGCAAAACATAACGGTAGACTTACTTAAGTATTTCCAAAACTACTCTTACCTCTTTGATGGAGAGAGGAATGCGTGTGCAACACAAACTGATGAAGATTCATAGCTTGATCAACACATAACACCATTATTATACAATCATTCTAACGACCCTATACATGAGGCGGCTGTATGTATGCCAGCTACCTTTAACCTCTTACAACTATCCACAACGACTAAGTCAATTGTTGTTGTCTATACTAAGTAGTTGTTTCTAAGATTTCTTAAGTGAAAACAAACCTTATCCATTAATTTCACACAAAACTTGTCAATAAATCAATAAAGATAGAAAGAAACAAAACAAGGCACTTTCACAATTTTAGTAATATAAAAACCGTTAGATTGTAAATATTCATATACATGTTTAGGGAGGTATGAAATGATGGGTGACAAAATGGTATTAATAACGATTTTTATTATTGTCTACAACACCACTTAACGTCTACAGCACAAAATAATATGTTACTGTAAATCAGTCGTGAAAGTACAGGTTCATCTATACAAATGTCCACTTTAGAGTTAATAATACAATTTACCTGCTTGAAATAGGATGAAATGACTAAACAATTAAAGCATTACACTTGAATGCTTTATTTTTTAATTTATTTTAGTGCATTCAAAAAATGCTTACAAAATGTTTGAAACCCATCTTTCAGTTAAAAATTATCTTGTAATAAAATAGCAAAGAGTAATTAAACGAGAAAAATACACTGCAATTATGAAATCGGAGCTCTGTAATTTCAAGAATCATTTGCAACCTATCGCATAAACCAAAAAGAACCGACCGAAAATTCAGTCCTGATTATCAGTAGTGCGATAACTTGAACGCTTACTAATAATGATATAGACATCATATCCAATGAATAAATTAGTAACGATATGGACTCAACAAATTATTGGATAACGAGCTGGAGTTTTAAAGTTCGAATATTAACATGAACAAATGTGGAATGCGGGTAAATTTAAGTACTGAGGCGCCAATAGGAAGAAACGCACGTTCTGGATTTCATTGTTAGCCATAATTCATCAATCATTAGTTGTTATCTTACATAATTCATAGTGCTAATAAAAAAATAGATATGTGAAGTGTCCTCAAATGCCCTGGTACGGCCGAGAGTCAGCTCTCACTCTCAAATGCTCTCACATGGCCACATGCACACAACCAATGCCTTCTCGCGGCAGGGGTGTTGTCTACGAAATTGAGAGGAGGAAAAGCGAATGTCCGGCACTTTAACCGAGTTGGTGGACACGGAGGATTCTCCTAGGGGATTGGCCTCTCTGAGTTGAGGATGTTAGACGACTTTCTGTGTTTGATCATCGTTGTCTTCGAAGGATTGCTGACAACACCATGTCAGTAATGCAGAGGTTCGACATCGTGTGTTCGGGCACAGAGACGATAATGCAATTGGTGTCACCATCTTGAAACACCGACTTCGGTGGCTTGGACATGTACGAATGTCGTCCCAGAGAATTCCGGCGCTTAAAACGGATCCCAAATCAATGGTGCACATGGGCTCCAGTATCCTGAAGGAACAAATGGCGTATAAACCAATCGTTGGTCACCGGCTACCATGGGACTGCATCTTCTTACGATGCTCCACTGCCTTGTGGATCAGACGTTCAGGTCAAAGGCTCGGGGTGTGGCCCCCTAAGAAAACAAGCTGCTTCGGTTTGGACACCCGGGCAGTATCACAGCCCACACACAAATGTGGTGAAATGTTGATATTTATGGAAGATACTTTTCTTGCTTTAATTAACAATCAAACGATTCACATTATCGTTATTATTATTATTATTATTGTTATTACTATTATTATTTACCAAGTCATTTATTCACTCTCTCTTATTTCCACTCTGTCTATCCTTACTTTTCGACTTATACAGTAGCTCGCCTATGATGGAAATTCTGTTCTATCTAAACGTTCTCGAATCACTGCCTGGTTGAAAATTGTATGTTACCACCGAATACGAGTGCTGAAGCAGTTTTTCTGAAACCACGTGCACCATTCAAACTGGCTGCCTTCAACGTTCGCACACTTATGCAGGTCGGACAACAGATAGGGCTGGCTGTGTCTTTGGAAAGTTTTAATATTGACGTTTCTTGTCTGTCCGAGACCCGTATTCAAGACTCTGGTGAAGTACTACAAATTCGCTCTCCATCTGTCACTTCAAAAAGCTTGTTTTATGTGCGTTTATCTGGGGACCCTGTGGCATCTTCGTCTGGTCTTGCTGGCGTTGGTGTCGCACTAAGCGCTAGAGCTGAGACAGCACTAATCGATTGTATCCCCATTAACAGTCGGTTATGTGCTGTTAGATTAGAAAGTCCCATCAAAGTGAGAAGAAATCGATGTATTTTCGTCATATCCGCCTATGCCCCGACAGAGTGCAGCACGGATGCTATCAATGATGAGTTTTACCATTAACTAACAGTTCTTCTACAGAAAGTGCGTTAGACAGATATTGTAGTACTAGCCGGAGACTTGAATGCTCAGGTCGGGCGTCTAGGCACAGAAGAGAGTCGTTTAGGTGGCTGATGGGAACTTTTTGGTCACCAGTCAGATAACGGGAACCGTCTATTGCAACTGTGCGCAGACAACAACCTAGCACTAACTACCGGCACAGTCATTACAGATGTGCCACCTGGCGTCGTCCTTCTGCATCTCAAGCCTGAACTCAGATTAATCACATCACGATCATCTACAGCCACTCCTTTTGGAGTACCTATCTGCACTCTGATAATGCTCTTGTTTGCGCTAATCTTACTTTACGGATCGATGTCAGTAAATTGGTTGCAACTAAATATCAAACCGAGCTAAGTTAAAGGCTAGCTAATATTCCACTGAGAAGTGTAGATGAGCATTTGATGCAATTGCACGACACCATGAAAATAGCGAGTAAAGCCGCTTTGCGAAACGTCCTGCTTATAAGCACCAGGTTTCTTCTGGTTCCTGACAACTTATTGAAGCCCGTTGGTCTACTGAGGATGGATATGAACTTAACCACAGACGACGGCTGTTACGTAATGAAATTAGGCAAATCTTGCGAGAAGTCCGGTGGTCGGAGCGTGCCAATGAGTTGGAAGCAGCAGATGCATCTAGTAACTACCGGAGGCTCTTTCAACTCATCTGGCAGCAAGAAGTCTGGTGGGAGCAAAACAATCTGTGAAGGTGACGGGATGCCAATCATTATTATCTATCGACGTCTTGGACGATGGGCAGTTTTTCGAGGAGCAGTTCAACTGGTATGCTGCTCCGACAGCATCGGTCCGACTGTTCTGTCCTTCATAGCCGGTGACGACTGATCAACCAAATGAGGCGGAAGTCCGCAAGGAACTCCAACTCTTGAAACGCTACAAATCACTGGGCCCAGAAGACTTACCTCCGGCCTTTTTTTAAAAATGGCAGCGGCCTTCTGGTTAAGGAACTGACTGGGTTGTTTACAAAGGTTTGGGGATTAGAAAGTATTGCAACATCATGGAATGAGTCGATAGTTGTTCCTATCTTTAAAAAGGGTTCACGTCGTTCCTGTAACAACTATCGGGGGATAAGTCTACTTCCGATTGCGTTCAAGCTATTGGCTTCCGTTATACTTCGTAGGTTGTTCGAAACCCGAGAAGGATTGACTCGCGAAGAGCAGGCTGGTTTTCGTTCCGGTCGAGGATGTGATGATCATATCTTCACCCTCCGCCAAATTTCAGAACACCGTCACACTTATGACAGGCCAACAATCGTAGTGTTTTTTGACATCAGAACTGCCTTTGATTCGTTGGATAGGAGTGTTCTCTGGGATTGTCTATTAAAGAAAGGTGTGTCTGAGACTATTATTAACATCCTAAAAGCCCTATATACAAACACCTCAGGTAGAGTGAGGGCAGACAATCATTTCTCTCTATTGTTGCATTCAAGCAGTGGGGTTAGGCAAGGTCGCTCAATTTAACCATACCTCTCCAACTTTGCTATCGACGACGTTCTGGAAACAGCTCCGATGGATATAAGTAATGACGGTGTGGATCTGTTGCATGGAAAAAGAGTATGTGGATGATATTGTCTTACTGTGCGATAATACTCAAGCCATGCAATCCGCACTTAATCAGTTGGCAATTAGTGTCCGTAGTTATGGTATGTGCTTTGCATCTTCGAAGTTCAAAGTACTTCTACAAGACTGGCAGGACACAGATCATGTACTCACCCTGAGTAGTGAGCAGATAGAAGTAGTCAAGAAGTTCATGAATCTAAGTAGCTGCATAAGTTCTGGTGGTGGCGTCAGTGATGAGAATTCCACGTCGTGCATTATTTGCCGACTCTGGGACTGGTTGGAAAGAGCGGAGAGGTGGTCAGTGTATGACATGGTGTCGTGGTATGAAAGAAAGTTGCAAAGGGCTGGTTTGTGTTGGTCCTTCAAGGCTCCCGTGCTGGGGTCCTAGAGATGGTGCAATACAGTGTCTAGAGACGTTATCAGATATGGCTCAAAATAGAAGCCAGTGGCGATCTTGCTGTAACTTTATTTTACTTTCTTCATCAAAAAAAAAGATGTAAGTTCTTTAACTGGAAGAATTATTTCTGGTTGTACTGTTGCCAATTGAACTGTAGCTCCCATGATTATTATTTCACTATGATACACTAATTTCTGTTCGTTATTATTCTTCTTTCTCATATACGCACCTTGTATTCTTTGTCTCTTCACATTATCATTATTATTGGTTGGCACATATATATCTGGTGCCACTTTGTATTCAAATAAATAAATATGTGAAGTATAACACCGTTTAATACACACAGGTTTGATGAGAGTAACAAACTGAATTATTGAGTTAATAGTTCAGAACTTTGGAATCTAGTCTTTGGGTTAGAACGTTCGACATTTAATTTACCTAGTCAAGTATGAATAGTCAGTCAGATAATATTATTTTATTCCAATCCATGTACTCATTCTATTTGAAACTTGGGTCATTCTAGCATTAGAGATTTACAATTTATTCCACTTATGGTCAGTTAGAAGGATAGACACAACCTAGAAAAGATACAATGAATATATTGTAATAAATAGATAAAAATCTAAAAATAAATGAACACAATAAGTCGAATATAATTTTACAGATGCTAAGAGGAAAAATGGGGAAAAAACAATTATATACCTATATTCAAATACAAATTTCCGACTATTAATTTCACATACGAGTTTATGTTCTATATAAGGAAATCTCTTTATCAGGTAAACCTCTCCTAGTTCTCACAGTGTGTAGTGTTGATATACTGTCAACTTAATCAGTCATTGTTATTGTCATTATTAATGGCTTTATTTAACATTACATTTTTGGTGCAATATACAATTCTCTGCATCGTTATAACCCAGTACATATGGGCAGTGGTTTAAATTGACTACAACGGGAAGAACTTATTACGATAAATACCAGTGTAATAGAGGAAGTGGTCACAAAATTAGTGATCGTGGTAAGAACCAATCGTAGACGATGTGGTTTAAAAATAATGCATGGAGTTACAAAATAAAATGATAAAAAATAATTTAAAAATTCAAGGTCTAAGGGAAGACAAGGGATAAATGAATATCAATGTGATACTAAGTCATATAACCCATCGTTTCTAACCATTGGTTACGATAATTGGGGGAACTCAGCCAGGTAATCTGCACCTAAGAATGTGGCACAATCCAACAATCAGTGGTTTTGGTTTAAGCTTCCTTAGCTTTCAATCGCTCATCATGGTAGGTAATTGTTGAGCATACTTGATATGTCTTAGCCATATCAGTCGATAAAAATTCACCATCTTTTTTTGATTCTGCTGGTATCATTGAGTGTAAACGATTGATCTTTTTATATGAATTGTAAGAAGCAATACCTACCATTTTATACTTCTTTGAACTTTGAATGTTTCACCACCATATCACCACAGAGCATAGAACACAAAAGTTTGGAAAATCAGACTATGTAAAACCAAGAATATGATTAACTAGTATTAAAAGAGAGGAGAACTGAAATGTAAAATTTGGTTGAGAACTGCCAATACTAATGTTATTAGTACTTTAAAAGGAAAGAAACCAATTAACTAACCTAAGACATTGTCTCCCGGTAACAGACTGCATAACTTTTGTTTCATATATAACGTCATGCTCAAATTTACTCATTGCTATCTTAGGTTTAAAGCAATTCGGTCTCATTGGTTGATGATGTAGAGTAGAAGGCACATCAATGTTTGATGTAGTGCGATGATAAAACAATAATGTTGATGATGTATCATTTATTAAAGCTAATGTCTGACAAGCAACAAACTGATGTGTTTCACATGAACTTGCCAATTGAATACTGCCTATACCTGAATCAATTCTGTTATTTTCAAGTGTGATGTAAGGCGCTTGATGAAACAGATAACAACCACCGGGATTTTCACCCGGTGATTTATACCAATCTGTATATCTGACCGGTTCATTATCATAGGTTTCCCATGTCCAATTCTATAATAAAAAAGTGGGTAATTTGTTATTTTTTTAAAAAAAAACCGACGATTAAGGAATCGTGAATGCAAAATATTCGAAAAATTATTTGATGAATCTTTACAATGACTGAGTTCATACACGTACATTAACAATGAAAATTACACTGAATGATTAAGTGGACAATCAATCAGTTCACATAACTACTGTGAACAATTGAAGTTTGAGGACAATCATAATTCTTTTAATGTTCAATAGCAGTGAGATATTTTGCATTTTCAAGCACTTTTTTGTCAATGTAGTTTCAGTGCTTTATGTAAGAGTGTACTTTTTAGTAAGGACTTTGCTTTAATCGTCTAAAGCCATCTACGTATATCTTCTGTAAACACGCTAGTGTAGCTTATTCGAACTTAACATTAACTGAATAACTGAACGGCAAAATGCTAGATAATGCAGGTATATTGGGCATTGAGATTCAGAAGTGCTACAAATTCCTGAACATGCATCTTATCTCGAATTGGTCATATTTCAACCAAAAGATTAGTTCTAATAGATTATGAACCTTCAAAAAGATCAGTTATGCAGAGAGAAGGAACGATTGGATAGCAGCAATTTTAACAACCAATGAAATCGGATATTACAGATTGGGCCCGCCCGCCCGCCCTCTCGAAATGCTCTCACACGGCCACGCGTATATAGCCTCTGCCAGGGAAGTCCTACTCACTGCCTTCACGTGGCAGGGGTGTTGTTTACGAAAATAAGAGGACGAAAAGCGAATGTCCGGCGCTTTAACCGGATCCAAAACCAATGGTGCACATGGGCTCCAGTATCCTGCCTGAGGGAACAAATGGTGTGTGGACCAATCGTTGGTCACCGGCTACCATGGGACTGCATCTCCTTACGATGCTCCACTGCCTTGTGGGTCAGACATTCAGGTCGAAGGCTCGTGGTGTGGCCCCCTAAGAAAACCACCTGCTTCGTTCTGGGCACCCGGGTAGTATCACAGCCCACACAAAAATAAAATGTTGTGTGGCGCATATATATTTGGTGCCCTCTTGTACCAATATTTATGTGTTCAAATAAATAAATAAATGAAGACATTATTCAATGTTCAATGATCACCAGACAACTAACTTACTGCATAGCAACCAGGGCAAGTAGTTGGTACTTTCAAAGCTGTCCAAACTGCTTCACTAATTGGCAATCCACCACCATTGACATCACGTGGTTGATTAAGCCATACACGTAGAAAACTAGCTTCAAACACTGATGCAATCGTCAACAAACTGACGTTATATGTTGGAGTGCTTAAATTTTTGCAAGCCATATTTGCCGACTAAAGTGAAAAGCAAGATTGAATTCGAAAACAAAAAAATTGTTTCTATCGTTACTAATTTGTTTTTTTCACCAAGGATTTTTGAAGCTAAGTTCTTTACCCTTAAAATCTGAGACAAAATTTCGTAATAGTATGTAAGCAGATCATTACATATATCGGATAACCAGATGAATGCTGTTCATCGGTTTACATAATATGGAGAATTATTCAATATATATATATATATATATATATATATATATATATATATATATATATATAAATCACATTACACTACATACTGATAGTACTTTATTATTCTAGAATCTAGCTCATTTTGTTACTGATGTACATGGAATGAATGGACGGCTAGGAGCAGATAAACTGTCATTAAATATTGAATTGCGCTGTCTTGGTAGGTTTAGACAACCTGGTTGTGGCTTCATGAATTTTTAGGACATTTAGTATCATGATTCAGAATCGGTTTGAAATGAATGGACCAATTCACTCTTTGTCTTCGCTTTAGATAATGAGTTTCAAAATTATTTTATACATTCAGTTACGCGGATTCATTCTTTCTTCTCGAATTATACTGTTTATGATTTGTCTTATCTATTACCACACTAGCATTTTTCTTGATACTTTCATCTCGTAATCATAATTCAATGGTGACGAAACATTCCATTCAGTGTTTGTTTGTTTTTTACTCGACATAGTACAACTGCTACGAACATGATGTTAGTCTACATCAATATTATTCGTGCATCGATGAGTAAAGTTTAGTGGTTCCTACATAATTGTTAGTTTATCATTTAGTTATTCCAAGAAGTCGGAATCAATAAAAACATTAACACTTAAAAAAATATCATCTCCATTACAGATCAAAGCAGTAAATTTGTGTAAAACACTGTTATTCTCATACAAAATGACATTTAGCAGCTTAAATCATGAACTGATGTTAGTTGAACAACCACTGAATACTGGGAAAAAGTGGATAGCTCATTTTGTACGATTGCGATTAGACATTAAATCACTGAGCTGATATTCAATGTTTTAAATGTATGGGTTGGTTAATTCACGACGCTTAGATTGTAACAAATCAAGCATAAGACTTACAGCCCAGTTCATTTTAGCGACATGATTGAAAACGCGATAACACATAGGTTGAGAAATTTTTGCCATTGATTGACCTTTGACTTTTAACAGACCAGTTGTACCTAACTGGAAACCCGATGGACAATAAAATGTCTCTGTTCGATACGGAGCAAGTAACATTTGATTTACATGTCTATTTTGATAAATTGGCGAAGCTTGACATAAACTACTTAAATAAATTGGTTCATCACACGACCATTGAAGCCAAATTCCATTCAATCTTGGATCCGTTGAACGAAACATTGACGTGCATAGCTAGTAGGCATAAAGAAAAAGTGTATATACGTATATAAATAAATAAATAATAAAAATGCAGATAAGAGCTGGCGCAAGTATATGATATATTCAGAAAACTCAAGTAATATATATTTGATTAAATAATTGATAAGAATTTTGAATTATTGAATATAACTCAGTACATATATATATATATATATATATATATATATATATATATATATATATATATAACTTAATATGTCATAATGACCAAAAATATGTAATTAATTTATGTACAAATTGAAGTATTCTTGCAGTGAGTAATAGATCAAACTTATGATCATTAATATCAGTCAGCTAGTATGCTGTTAACAATACCAACTGTTGAGTATAAAACTTTAAAGAATAAAAACAATTTGTATATACTTGGAAAATTTCAACAAGCAACTTGTGATATATTAACCTAATAAAAAAATTCGGTCTAGTAAATCTTTATGAATCAAAATGCAATTAAATAATATCGATAAAGGAGGGTGGGAATTTGGTCTGGATTTGGAACCGCACCTTCAGTCAAGCAAACGTGATTATTCCACGAATCTGAATCAAGAAATCTATGCTTTCATGAAACAATCCAATAGTTGATAATTTCGTAATCTTTCTTCAACTTACTGATATGCTTAACAGTGAAATAAGTTGATGTACACAATTCTAGACATCCTGATAAACATAAAAACCTGAGTTTTTAAGTACTGAACACTTCGTTGAATATTTTCAGCTTGAACAAGAGAAGTTAACTGAGATTTCGCATGGTTTTCAGCAAGTTTGTCAATGACACAAACTCGTTTAGGATTCGCAATCGTTACTATATAGTTCGGCCAATAGCACATCTTTTTATTCAACGCTAATAGACATATAATCTCGAAAACTAGGTGGTTTCAAGACCCTTTAGGCAACTATAAGATTTTGAGTTAAAATCTCATGTGAGATTACAGGTATTCCTATATTATATTTTTGTAATTCAATTGTCAAGAACACATTTATCCATTTAGCCGTGGAGGTATATATAATGTGTAAAGAGTTAATCATACTACTCGGATATCAAAACCACATTAAACGGAGTGAAGCCGAACCTAAGAACTGGTGAATGAAAGTCGGGAGCCTTGACCTTTGTGGCACTGCCCAGTGGGAACAATTACGTAGTTAGAAAAAAAACTCCAACTCAACTTATATCAGTTTGGGCAGTCAAGTGATATGTTATTATCGTTTATATTTTATTCGAGACCAGAAGTACAAGCAACGATTTGATTAGTGAGTTTTAGGTTCCAATAGATTTCCTGGAAACGTAAAACTAAAAAAACGCATATTGTGTATTATCATTTACTTAATAACAAGTGATAAATTAATTGAAATAAAGAACCATGAAAATAACATACACTCATTGATTTCGACTTGATTGAAATAGTTGGTCGTGAAACAAAAGTATGACCATACACAGAAAGTTGATGATCTCTTATAATTGGCTTGATGAATTGAGGCTTTTTACCATCTGACCAATCGTAACTGTGAGAACCATGTGATAAATTACGGTACAAACCAATCCATACTGCAGACGATTTTTCAGCTTCAAGATTATCTAGAAGACTAGCTAGAAACTCTAAAATAAAAAAATACAAGATAGGTGAACAAAATAAATAAAACATATATGAGTCTCCACTAATGCATTAAGATAAGCATATGTTATTCATTCATTGTACTTGGCTTGCTAATTACAGTACTTTCAAAGTAGGTTGAGCAAGCATGCAAGAAGTGTGTTTATCTGTAAGTGGATTAGACGATCGAGAAATATAACGTTTATTAATTCGTCCATGGATATTAAAAACGAATTACAATTGGTTGTACAATTGTGGAACACCCTACACCATTCATCCTACGGCTCAATGATTAAAAACGATACAAAATTCAGGCTACGAAATAGATAATCATGGTTTAGACAAGGGATTAAGTAAAATTCTTTTCAGTGTTAAATGATGTACTGATAGTTTTACCAAATATTAGTTAACGTGAAACACAAATGTATCACATGAAATAGTTACCAAAGATTCTATTAGATGTGAGAATATTCAGTAAACAGTATTACAAATATTAACGTTCATGATCGGACATTCAACAGGAATTTATTGTTCACTGTTCAATGACATAATCTATTTGATAAGCAATAAATGTCTTTTTGAGATAAGATGAAATGCTCTTTAAAGCCCTACTAAACTAATAGGTAATCATTTAAAGAAGGGGGTGTAGAAGTTGTAAAATTTTGTAGTTAAATATCACAAACAAATGATAAAAACTAGAAAGCAGTATACAACTATTTCATACTAAAATGGCCTATCCACGACTCCACTGAGGATCGGATACACGAACCTAAGATCTTGTCACAAATGATCAAACTTCATAACAATAAATCGACAATCAATGGTTTAAATTTTTAACTTTTATCAATTCACGATATTGCGCGACAGTTGTCGATTGATGTTTCTGATATTTATGTCATACTCGACATGACAGAACTTCAATGGTCATGGTTTCTTATTTGTATTTCAGGAATTACCAAAGTTAATCTTTATCAAGCACATGATTACTATTTTATAGTATAGAATTACAGAGTGCTCAAGTAGGCGAACTGTGTGTTAATACCGTAACAGATAAGACAAAACAATTTTTTAAGGCGTACATTGACCTCGTATGTCATAAAATCCATACTATTTTGAAATTAATGTTTTATTAATGTCTAAATGTTTAGTTTTTACCTGTCATATTCTAATTTTTGTTCAATAATCGATTTCACTCGGTTATTGATCAACTCGGCCGACGGTCAAAACAACGCACAACAAAATAAATATCAATATACATATTAAGACAAGAAGCAAAGTTGAAAACTCTCTCGAATTTAATAACACTTTAAATTAAGCAAATTATTCGGAACATTGAGTTGGTGTTTAGGAAAGTCGTATGTTGAATTTAGTTTAATGTAGGTTAGTTAATGAATATATTACGGTATCCATCAAACAAAACATGTACTTGAGATATACCTTTAATCAATGACTTTTTTATTTAAAGCAAGAAATGTAGTTCTCTGGAGAACTAAGTAGCTCAATGAAAAATACGTTAGTGTTTAAATTGATAAGAATTTATTTAGGGTCTCAGAGTAAATATCAACATTCGAATCCTGATATACCCAGCAGACAAGTCCCAGCTCCTCACTTAATTCTCGTTTTCCATTGATCCGATTTTTTAGTGATACATATATGATCAGTCTGGTTCCCTGTAGTGTGATCCTGTGAGACCTATGTAGATTTATGTATGCGTTTGTGGGGGAATAAAGTGTGATAGAAAACCATTCTGTTAAAGGCACATAAACTTGCAAATCTCTCATCATTCTCGTTCCTTTCTCCCAGTCAGTCCATGTCGTCCCATGATATCTTCATACCAAATGTTGTCTATTCCGACTATGACGTATAGGTCTCCCATCAGGATAGTCAGATCCTTTCCTGGGCATGTCTCTACGACCGACATTAGTGTACAATGAAACTGGTCTTATTTTCTTCATTGCTATCACTTGTGTGTGCATAGCACTGGATAAAGTTTATTCTGACCTCTTTCTTCTTTGTTTCGAAGGATGCTTCGATGATTCCGCATTCATGAAATTCCCATCCAATAACTGCTTCACGTGTTTCCTTGGAAAGTATTATTGCAACTATTTTTGTATGCGGAGTACTTTTATTCTCGTGACCACAGTACAGCAGCATCTCTCCCGAATCTATCCTTTTCTTTCCAGCTTGGGTCCAATGGGTTTCATTTATTCCGAGAACCGGCAACTTGCAGCTTCTCCTTTCCGAAGCTATTTCAATGGTCCTCCTGGTCTTCCGAATTGTCCGGACATTTTATGTACCTACATTGTCGTTTTTCTGGTTGTTAGAATGTAAAGCGGATTTTCGGGTTTCGAAGAATCTCGAGTTTCCCCGTGAATCGTCATAATTCTTTCAAAATGAAGATAAATCAACTCCTAATGTATAGTTTAATGCGGTAAATGACTTTTTCTAGTCGACAATTACTTTAGCAAAGTTGTTTTCTATGGCATAAGGTTGCTAACGCCATGCCTAACCCTCCTCCTCTATACGGTAGTAAGCCTATATATGCAAGAAGAAAGCTGACTTCCATCCTGGAAGCCGGTGACAGGAAGTGATGAGTTTCAAGTCACCATACTAACATTGCCATAGCACCAGTACACCATTCCACTTACAAAACAAATCATCTACAATAGTAAAAATAATAATTGGTACGCGAAAAATATATTTCTTTCTTACGCTGATCAAGTTCATTGTCGATACGGGCTAAGGATCCATTGTAATTTGCATATGGCTTTACAATATGATGACAATTGTCATTAGCTTCACTCCATGTGAATTTGTCTGCAATCAACTATGTACAGAGAAGTTTGAAAAAATTGTGATAATATATATATATATATATATATATATATATATATATATATATATATATATATATATATACCAAGATAACTTTAATATTCGATCACTATCGAAGGATTAGACAAATGTGACAGCGGTTACTGCGCAGTCACCACTCGACTGTAAATACACTACACTTCTACAGGAGATTAGTCAGTCAATCGTAACATAGAGCCTATTACATATGTACATCGGTTGCCATACTTCATTAGCAGAGGAACGTGAAATTGTCAAGTCAAATCTTAAAATGGTAGAGATAGTAACAGTATTAATGGCAATGGAAAGGATCAGACATCAACTATACGATTCAGGAAAATATAAATTAGTAAAACAAAGTAAGAAATAGTCATGAGGAATTCACTAGCTTGGAATCTCGGTGAAGACAAAGAATGAATGCAACTGTACCATCGCAAACGATTTTGAACCACATTATTCAAAGTTACTAACCACAGTAGAGGTCAGAATAACTTACAAGTAACATTTCACACTCAGTGAAATGAATCTGAATCACACAGGGAGTGTTAGGTACCACAAGACTGAAAGTAAACCTTGCTGGCAAGTGTCAACTTAAAGAAAATGTAAGGTAAATGAGGATTTTCCAATGACTTCCTCTTTCAAGAACCGAATGGATAACTAAAATGTAACCTTCTACAACCCCATCATGTCCAAATATCATAGAATAACGAAGTGATGCATGTACATTGTGTGAACATGAAGGCCTTCATCTTTGTCCCCGAAAGCTGTCTCAGTTCGAGTTGCATTATCAAGAACTGAGCAATAATATCTGTTTTACAGATTAAAAACATTTATAGCCAAGTATTACGGTTGTATATATTTGCTTCAGTGATTTTGAGGCCTTGGACAACCATTCTGCATAATGCAGATGTATATACAAACTAGTCAGTGAATTGGTTCACTAACCTAACATCAATTAAACAGTATCAGCATGATCATTCAAGTAACTCGTAATCAGGTAATAAACCATTGGATGAAACAATCAATATTTTAGCCTACAAATAGGAATGCAGTAACGTAAAAACCATACTATCTGTGTTTTAAATATCCTTGAAACATTATGTCGGTTATCTGCATGAATGTTGACTGATATCATCAATACGTGGTTGTGCTTTTAAAAAAGCCGTATTCTTGATTTAATAGAATAATGCCTATAAAATACGCGATTGTGGTTTTCACCTAAACAACATGTTTTAACTCATGTATATGCTCATTTCTGTTGTAATGATTACTGAACCGTATAGCATAATACTATATAGTGTAGAATATTATAGTACAGCATGAATAAACACGTAGCAATATCCGATAAGACTACCAGCACCACAACTGAATGAATACGGGATCACGGTCATTTACATAATACTAAACTAACATTATTATCGTTATCATAAACATAACCAGACAAATTGTTGATCAATACATTCAATGCATGAAATGCTTTAATTCTAACGTTTATAATTGGTAAAAGAAAAATTAAACAAACTCAAAAACTTCCCACAGTTCATTTCCAGTAAGCAGAACAGAAAAATAGAAAAAAGGAACATTGTTAAATCTTAGGTGGTTTACAACAAAACATAAAACAATGATGACAGTGATATGATTAAATAATTATGACAATATTTATATTAATACTCTGGGATTTTGGATATACCAATCTACCTGTACAAACATTGAAGTGTCTAATTTGTATATAGGTGTATATATGTATGGTTTCACTTATGTGCGTGACCGACGACGTACATATACGCTGGGTGACCTACCATTGTATTCGTTTGTTATTTCACAAGACTCCATTGTATGAAACCATGGAGGACTTTTTAAAAAAGCAATAATGTGTTTTACAGTTGGAGAAATGGTTATTCACTGTACATGAATCGAAGATTATGGGTATAACTGCAAGGTTTGAGGAGCATTGCGGAAAAAGCGCTCACTCGAGATATTGCCTAATTAGGCTTTATATATTGAAGGTTCTGGGGGCGGTCAACAAGGAACTCTGGGACTGGATTTCGTGCCAGTCGCCTCACCTCAGCAGCATACATCTGAAATCTTAGATAGGATTGATCCCTTTCGTTTAATTTGCAGTCCCAATCAGTTAGTGGTTACGTCTCTTGTTGGAATACAAAATAACATAGTGTTCAAAACACACGGAGCATTATTTCGCCAAACCATCAAAATAAGCGTAATCGATGAGCACTAACAGTAAGCCATAAGGCTTACTGTCAGTCGCTACCAGCCAATGGGAATGTAGTGCAACCAATGTTCAGACATGTCAACTATCGATCACATTTAAACTCGATAACTAAAATTCAATCAATATTGAGTATAATGTTGTTTAGTAATCAATGACTAGTTAGTGCACAATATAAACAGAATTACTTTATGTGTAGATAAAAGATAAATGTAACAATAATAATTTACTTGGAAGCAACGGTCCCCATGGAATCGGAAACCAGGAGGACATGTTGGATATATTAATGAATCGAATGTAGTTGGATGTAATATCGTTGTAGATGGATTCAAATTCAATCTACATATAAAACTCAAAGACGGTTTATTACATGGCATAGCTTTCCAGTGTATTGATGAATTAACTATTAGAATAATAGGAAGAGAAATGTTTTTTAGTTATCGTGAAACAGATATACGTGTAATAGTGTCTATTTACAACCTTGTTCATGTTATTCGGAAGTTTGATGAAAAAATCCACTAACTAACTGAACTTTTCTTCATAAAAATATTAACATTCGGATCAAAGGCTTATAGCAAGTTGTTATGAAAAAACTGTCAAGTAGTATTTTATTAGAGATGCTATATCGTTTCACTTTTAATTTGTTTTAGGTAACTGTAATTGTTTGAATAGATGTAGGCTGATCTCGAACTGAGAATATTCTCATTATTTTTAGTAGAATTTCGTTCTCTGAGCTGAATATTTTTCGCTGTGAATCTTTAATTGTTTTTCTGAACATCGTCAGCACAAACTTCAGGTCGATGAGAACAATTCCCATTTCTCCATATACGACTCTCAGCTTGTCATGACAATCTCGATCCTGATTGGTTATTGTTGACCCTTAAACTATCAGATCAATTAGCGATCAACAAACACATAGAAATCGATCCAATTTATTAGTCAGTAAGAAAAGTCATAAACAAATATAGGACCAAGAATCAGATCAGAGGGAGATAAAACCAAAATAAACAGGGACATAATGACAGGTTATAGGTCAACAATAACCAATCAAAATCGAGGACAAGTTGAGATAATATCTTCTGAATTAAGTATCCTACATAAAACATAATAAATGTCATTAACGACTTCTTAATTTGATACAACTCATGAACTATGTGATCATATCGCTTCATAGAAAATAGATCAAAAGAAGTACCAAGTACTGTGGTAAGTGCACTACTTAGATAATTAAGATTTTGCAGTTTACTAGAACACATAAATGAAAAGATTAATACTGATTTGAACATAACTTCAGTTCCATAGTTTACATTATGAACTGACAAATGTTGGAAACCAAGAAGCGCTGAGCAGATATTTCTTCGTAGTATAAGGCTACTCAGCAGAGCATATCCCCGAAGACTTTGGATAAGATGAATGGATAATATCACGAATTAATAGAAATTATAAATGTAAACGATTTTTTTCAACCCAATGGTTCAAACATTAAGCGCTTATTGAGTGGGCTGAGGATCCTGGGTTCGATCCCAGGTAGGGTTTTTATAAGTAGTTCTATGCTAGGACTTCGTAGTTATCCAGTATCTGTTAGTTTTCCAATAACTTTCCAGTCAAGGTCAGCCTTTAAAGTAAATTATCAAGTTCAATAATATTTGCAAGCCCCCATACATATTTAGTTTGGTTTTTTTATCATAATAAATAAAACAAACCTGAATCCAGCACAAAACAATCTTGCATGTAATGTCTCGACTCTTTACTGATGTCCGCTGAAACTGGTATATAATTAATATCAGATTGATCAGACCATTTGTAAGCAAAGTTTGATTCATACAATCCAATCCAGGTAGTGAGCATTGATTGTGAATTTTGATGGATAATTTCAGCCTAAACAGGGAATATATTTTCGTTTCAATATGAACAATTGTAGTAAAAAGCATAGACTACGTACAAGTAGCATGACTAACTGTAAAGATACATTTGTCTTACGTTGAAAAAAAACTTGATAGATTTCAAGAACAATGGTAGAATATATGTATAAAGAACGGTACTTCGGTTCACCTTTAAGATTAGAAATAATGTAGTCGGTTGTTTGATGAGGGATTTGAACGAATGGGTCAGGATATATCAGGGTACTTAAAAACAGGATTAAAACTGAAAACATATGGAAATTACATGAGGACGCAGATAAGACCGTCAATTAAAAGGCTAGTATCAGAAATGTCAAAGATGAAGGGTTGGTTGTAATCTCGATTATCCAAATGGATATAATTCCAGAAAGAACTAATCCTTAAAATAAATAGCAAAAGTATTTTAGGACGAAGAGTGAATAAATTTGAGCCATGTTAGTCAGTATCTTCAACTATTACTAACGATAGTCGCGCGGATCCCAACCAGGTAGTTTGAATCTACCCGTATATTGGTTTAGACCTGTAGTTAATAATTTCATAAAGTGATATTGTCTTGGTTTACGTGGCCCTAACTTTCATTAAAAATAATCCCTCGAAATCAGCAAACATGTCAACAGGTTGGCCAAGTGTTTTTTCTTCAAATTCACACTGGTATACGTAACAGTAATTAATGTATAATTACTAAACAATGATACTTACAATTTCATTTAATTCAGCATGTGAATGAATTG